TCAACCATGAACCCTCTGTTTAAAAAACCTGAAGGTATCGGACAGTTAAGGGATTTACTTGTTACAAGTACCAAAACAGCAAGGGAAAGGGATAGTAGTGTAATTGTGATATTCGAGGGAACTCATGGTGTTCTGTGGTCCTGATATGTAATTAGGATTTCTAATTGTATTGTGCCCTTACTGCATGAAACTGTAACTTGGTACCTTGACTTACTGTAACTGTATGTAACTGTAACTTGGCTTTAAGATATGCAATGAGCTGCCTTTTGACATACTGACAGAATAGGCAATTCATGATCTATACATCCTCTGCACAAAAAGGAAGAAAGCTTTTCAGACAGACTAGATGTGTGACTTCCTATTGCAGAGGCAAGCATATTTAGAGGAGGTTAATGCAATATAATTCAACATGTTTTCTTTCACTCTAGCAGTATTTTCAGTATCACAGTGAAGTGTTTAAATGGTTGAATGATAGTTATTACTGCAGTGTGTGTAACATTACAAACATCCAAGCCTGCATCATAACTTTAGTAAGCACAAGCCTGGTAAGGTGGAGGACACCAGGGCAGTAGCAGGATTGGTGCTTACTGATAGCAGCAGTGCTGTGGCAATGGCAGTTCTTGGAGGGATGCTAGAGGACACCGGGAGCAGGAGAAACCTGCTGGAAGCTTTGAGGAACAGCACTTTTTAGATCTCTTGTTAAAAATCCACACATACAGCAAGAGACTGTGACTATATCATAAACTGTATCACAATCTTCCATCAAATGGCTAGAATAAACAGACTGATAAGTAAAATATGACTTCTGTATCAAAAGCCCAAATTCCTCATGGAATTTTAACTCACAGCAGACTTGATGTGGAGACTGCAGCTCAGTCATTGAAAGCACAAATGAATGTTTTTGGAATCAGTTTCCCACTTTCAAAGTAGAATACTTATCAACCTTTGGAAAAAGTTTTGCAAACTATGGATGATAAGTGCTACAAAAGAGTAAAATGTTACTATTATATTTATTTGTACTGCAGTAGGCCTAAAGACTTCAAACTGAACTCAGTGGCTGCTAGTATAAAACAAACACACAATAATAGACAGTCAATCAACCTATCTCCAAGAGACTGGTTTCAAAACAGAGACATACATTCCACAAATAATAACTGACCTGATTTTCCCTTCTCTCACACCAGTGCAGGTGAGGAGTGACTCCAGTGAATACAGAGAAAGAACAGAACTTGTTGTTAAAGCAGCAGTCAAACTCAGCAACCTTTTCTGGTTGCGGGCTAAAATAACCCAGCATGGGTCAGAGGCAGGCGGAGGGGCGCTAGCACCCAGCTGCTGCTTCTCTCTATGGTGGTAATGGAAGAACTCCTGCAATCACCACTTCACACCGCCACAGCACAAGGGCAATGACCGCTGAATCCTGCCGAAGCCCCATGTCCGTGGGCAGAATCAAATGTCTCTGCAGAGCAGATCTGGCCCACAGGCCATACACTGAT